GTGCAGCAAATAGACTGATCCAATATGGTGGACACTGAACGGGGGGAGCTGAGACACACTTAATACTATAAGCGTTCTGATGGCATTTTAGAGAAAACATAATGAATGTGCACAAATAAGGAATAGTTGTATTAACTATACATGTAAACAGAGTTTTATGGGTTTTATGGAACTTTGGGCCCTAGGCAACTGCCTAGTATTGCCTAATGTGTTGCCTACTCTGTACACACAGTCATAGCAGACAAACCACAACATGCACATCTATTGCACACATTTTTTTTTCATATACAGATCCTTATTTAGAATCTCCTCAAAGACCAGGCCTGATGTGTAGTGGAAAACCAAACTACACATCATCCTGAAAACACCATTCCCATAGTGAAACATGGCAATGGCAGCATCATGTTGTGGGGACAGTTCACTTTAGTAGCAACAATAAAATGGGGAGAGTTTTTGGGGAAACGCATGGAGCTAAATCCAGGACTAGAAGACCTGAGGATAGGATGGAGTTACACCTTCCAGCGGGAATGCAAATACAAGCCACACTTTTCAGATTTATATTTCCACAAAATGTTATGAAATGTGTAGCATTTATAACAAGAAACTGTTTCCTACTGATATTGCCAAAAAATAAACCTTGATACTTCAAGGTTTGAAATTTTAATGTGAAAAAGTTTTACAACAAAACATCCTTCCACTTAATCTTTATAGTGACCAGAGTCCCCGGGATCTATCTACAGTAAATAATTAACTAACATTTGGTAATAAAACAGGAAGATCATCAACTGTTTGTTTTCTGTTTTCATATCTAAAACAAATGTTTGGATTCCTCTGAAATAATCTGAGTTTAGCTGATAGGTTTAGGATCCCAGGCATCAGAATTAAATTTATAGGCATCTATTTATAGACATTGTATGTTATTTTTTTAGAAAAATATGTAGGAATAATACATTCATTTTGAATTTATTAGTCATTTTATATTTCCTAAGCTGTTATGAAACAGTTTAAATTGCTCCTGTAGCTCTTTATTCTGATTGGTTAACCTCTAAGTGTTGACTCAGTGACTCTAAGCCCCGCCCACAATACTTTGATAATTAGTTTAAATTTTTTTGAGCAGTTATTTCAAATATAAAGGTTAAGCTTTTAAATGATCCTTCACTAGTGATGAATAAACAAATTTTTTTTATTCATCATTAGTTTTTAAATTTTATAAACAAAGAACAGATAAACAGAAAAAGAACAATATGTTCTAATTTACACATTTAAAGTATTAAAATGTACAGATTAAATTAAAGACTATAAATAACACTGCATAAAATATAAAGATGTTTATATAAGTTTTTAGTAAATATGTGTGTAATAACTAGTTAACTAACTAATGTAAATACTATGAGTGATTTAGTATTTATTTATAAATGAAATAATTTAGTTACTTTTATTAAATGATGGTGCTGTTAGTAACTTTGCTGCTAAAAACAGATTAATTTATTAACAGAATTAATTAATTACAGAGTAATTGGTTACTGTCTGCATTGCCTGAGGGTAAAAACTTTTAGTTTGTTCTAAAGTAGAATCTATACTCTAGTTTATTCTACTGGTTCTATATCTGGACTGGTTCTCCTGGAATCCCGGCTGGCAGCATGTTTTTCTTTTTAACAAAAAAATAAATCAGATATAAATGGCATTTAATCTTCTGACCCAGTTCAGTTCGGAAAAGGAAAAACTAACAGAGGCGATGGTTGGAAACTTCAGATCAAGTTTCAAACGTTAAAGTTTGGCGTCAGAATAAAAGCCTTAAACCAACTCACCGAGGTCTTCGTCCATCTCGTCCATTTTTTCTGATGGACCTGCCCAGAACGCAAATAAACCTCCGCCAAGAAGGAAAACAACAAGATAAAGTAAAGCTGCGCAGAAACATGACTCTTCCGGTTAGACCTTTCACAATAAAGCTCTGTGAGGGCAGCTGCTTAGAGAGCGAAACATAGGGAGGTAGGGGCTGGTATGGGCTCTATGCACAGCTCCACTACTTCCT